TATTCATTGGTAGTAATTGTGAAGAAGAGGAATGGCTCACACCACTTCTGCATAGATTTCTGGAAGGTGAACCCTGTGACAAAGTTTAACTCCAAACAAATGGGCAATGCAGAGGCTATCATGGAGAAACTAGACGAGATCAAGTTCTTTTCCAAGATTGACCTCAGTAAAGGTTATTGACAGATCCTGATGGAAACAGAGACTAAAGAGAAGGTAGCCAGTGTGACACCAGATGGATGCTACCAGTTCAAGAGGATGCTTTTTTGGGATTTGTAAATTCAGCAACAACATTTAACTACATGATGAGGAAGATGTTGTATAAAACCATCAATATTGAGCATTATGTGGACAACATTCTGACTCACACAGCCAGAAGGAAAGACCACCTGAAGAAACTTAGAGAGAGCTGTTTAGACTTGTGAGGTTAGCAGGTCTGTCCATAAGACCATCTAAGTGCTACATTGGTTATTCTGTGCTGGACTTTGTTGGACACAAGGTGGGTGACCAACAGATAGCTATAGAATAGGAGAAGCTACTACAGGAAGTTTATCCCAAATTGCACTGAAGTAATTTTACCACTGACGGACCTGATCAAGAAAGGCCAACCCAAAACAATGTGAAGTGGGAACAACCACAGCAGATAGCATTACAGAAGTTGAATAACATGTTAAGAAGTTTGCCAATCCTTAGAATGCCAGACTTCAACAAACCGTTCATCATTCAGTCCGATGCATCAGACATTGGAATTGGAGCAATACTTCTGTAAGAGCATGAAGATGGACTGTTCAAAAATAATAAGAACTACATTGAATGAGAGTGTCTGGCCATCTTATTTACCATCCAGAATTTCAAGAACTAACTCTATGGGAAGAAGTTCATCATCCAGACAGATCATCAGCCACTTGCATACATCCAGAGGTGCAAAATTTACAGTGCAAGGATTATGAGGTGGGCATTGCACCTCCAGAACTATCGGTTTCACATTGAAGAACTCAAAGGGGACTGCAAATGTCAGTGCAAACTGTATGAGTAGACTTTGTGCATGAACTGAAAACAGTCTTTGTATATAGTATAAAAAAATATTGTAAATATTTTTCTCAAAGAGGGACTTATTGTTAGATATACACGACTGTGTCTGTTTAAATATAGCACAAGAGTTAAATTTAGTTATATTTAGAAGTGATAGTTTATCACAGGTTTGCTTATGCAACAGTGTACAAATTATAAGTCACATAGTTTAATTGTTGTGAATCAGCACTTGTATTATTATGTCATGTTATTAGAAACTTTTAATTTTTTTCTTGTTGTTTCAATTGAGTATTATTGCATCGCATTATTACATAATTTGTAGAATATTCTAACCCTCTATCAATTTATAAATATGTGTATAAAATGTAGTTCAAGAAAGACAAAATAGACAGTTAGTTAGATAGATAGCTAGAGCTAGATTGTGTGTTTGTGAGTTTAGTCATAAAGAGCATATAGTGGCACTTTTTTATTTACAGTACCATAATCACAGATTGTATTGCAACAAAGCAATTGAGAATAATAAATTTTCTTGTCAATTGTGTTCTAAAGTAATCAAACAAACCTGTGTGGACTTTTGATGACAATTATTTACAGTTCTGGATGCAACTGAGGTAAACAACAGTGTAATATAAATTATCACCCATGATATTGTAACAACAGAGCAGAGGAGAATAATTCATCTTGTCAACTGTGTTCTGAAGTAATTGAACCAGCCTCTGTGATGGAAAAAGATGATTTGTATATACATTTGACTTGTTTTAATATATCATTTCAATCCAGTGGACTGTGTGCTGTTTGTTTATTGTCAAAATTTATTGCCAACAAGTCATGGACACCTACTGTAAAGAATCCTGCCCAGCCATACATACAAAACCTGACAAAAACAGTAAACTGTCTTTGATACATTGATGAAAGCAAAAAGAAAATATGAATATCAGCCATCAAATAAGTAAATCTAAGCCTGAAGGAACAATTTGGAACTGTCTGTACAGTAGGCAGTATGTGGTTCTATTTTGGGAAGCAGATGCAGTATGATTATATTTAAAATCGAGAAAAGGAAATAAGCCTTGAAGTGAATATATTCCAGTGATTATTGAAATAACTGAGTTGGTCATTGAAAATAAAAGTTGTGTGAATGTTATAATATCTATATTTTCTTTATCATGTAGTTCAGTGAAGTAGCCTTGATTAATAATAACTGCTGTGCCTATTCATCTCTTTTTAATATACATCTCTCAATTCATACTTATATATATATATTGTTATGTCTTCGTTTGTTAATTAATTTTCCGTAACTTCGTTCTGACGAAACTTTAGCGACACAAGTTCTTTACTTAATAAAACTGGTTTATTCTTTCCGAATACAACTTTACGATACACTTATTTTCAGCAATCGCGCTAAAACAAACGCTATATCAATTGCTCACTATCTTCACACACACACATTACCTTATTCTCCCGTCACATTGTCACCCTCTTTTATATACCAGACTACCCTATATCTAGTAAA